TGCTTTTTGAAAGTATCTGGTAAAAGCACATAATAAATATTGGCTAAGACAAGGCGTACAAAACTGTTTCCCACAGACGCATCCTGTCTGTCAGAATCATAACTGTAACGTTATATTTAATTGTTCATACCAGTCATAAGACTAACGTAAGTTTCAAAAAGCAGAACTAAAAAATAAAACTGCAAACTTAGCTGATTTAATAAATTTTTGCTTAAAGGTCAGTAAGATTGACAAACCTAACCACAAGGTATAATTAATGCATTTAAAAAAAAATTCCAAGTGGGTTGAACTTAGGCGGGGAACAATGCTAATCTCAGACCCCAAAGTGATGTGGTGTAATTTGCTTATTAGGTAAACCCAAGCTTAGGCACTAACCTATTATAATAATTTTGAATACCTTTTAACCCCATAGGATAACAGCTGTAGGGTAAGATTGTGAGTGGCTCTAAAGCCAACAGATTAGCATAGGACAGGATATAAAGGAACATGCACATCAGGTGACCAGTAGGAAGGAGAGAACAAGATGGTCATTGCTGTTCTAAGCCTAGACCCCAGACTCCCAGTGTGAGTGAGGATCAGATCCTGACTGAGGGAACTTCCCCGGTGCTCCCTCCGACAGCATGGATTGGGGACGCCTGATTTCGCTGAATCAACTTGACATGTATCTGACACTGAGGGACTATCAATAAGTTGCTAAACAAGTGGGAACTCTTTGTCAATTTGTCTGTCTGTTTTTATTACTACTGTCAATTTTTAACTTTTATTGTTATGTTGTCTATTTATTAGCTTAACCTTTTTATTAACTGTTATACATGCAAACTATATTTTTTGCTGCTTAAACATATTTTTGTTGCTATAAGTAAAATTTATCTTTACTGTTATAAGTGAAAATTGTCTTTGCTCCGTTCCCAACTCCACCTCCTCGATCCTGAACCAAATAGCCCAGTGGCTGATAGAGTTGCAGCACTCAGTCAGCCTGCAACTAAATTGATACACTCACAGTGCCCAGCTGGCCTGTGACACTGCGGTAGGACTTCCAATTCCTCCTTCTCCTTTGTTAGGTTCCACCTGCTTCCCAACTCACCTCAGGACTTTGTTCTCCTTCCCCTGGTGAACCTAGTTTAAAGCTCTTCTCACTAGGTTAGAAAGCCTGTCTGTGAAGATGCTCCTCCCTCTCTTTGACAGGTGGATCTCATCTCTTCCTAGCAATTATTCTTCTTGGAATAACATGCTGTAGTCAAAGAAACCAAAACTCTGCTGGTGACACCACTTGCACAGCCATGCATTGCTCTGTAGGATGCGTCTGCTCTTGCCCAGGCCCTTTCCTTTGACTGGAAGGATTGAGGAGAACACCACCTGAGCCACTGTGCCCTTCACCTTTTGCACCCAAAGCCCTGTAGTCACTTTTTATCTGCTCAGGGTCACCCCTGGCAATATCATTGGTGCGCACAGGAATGAGTAGCATGGGGTTCCACCTTCCTGGAAATCCATGCCTTCTTCCTTCTCTAGCGCTGCCTCTGGCAGTCCTTCCTCTGTAGTCCTAGAGGTCTCCTTCAGCATCAATTCTAGGAAGCCCTCATGGTGGATACTTTGGAGATTTACCAGCCCCTCCTGTAGCTCTCTTGCCTGCTCCCTGAGGGACAGCACCAGGAGGCACCACTCACATCACAGGCACTCCCCTACCTGGCAGTCACTTGAAGGAACCTGCAAGCCACAGTCTCAACACCAGAACCTGGGTGGAAGCCTCAATGGTGAGCGGTCCTGCCTGGAAAGACACCTTACAAGTGCAAGCAGAGGAAGAGCTGGCAGTGGCTCTGGCATTGTGACATCCTTCAGCCAATTCTCTGGGACTCTTAATCCACCCCCTCCGTCTTCCTGCCTCTTTCCAAGCAGACCTTCCCTAGCAAACTCCCCCTTGGTCCCAAAAGGTTCCCTTTGCCCTGCTTCCACTCACCAAGCTTACAGTGAAGGAAGATGAGAGAGTTTCCAGGCAAACTCCCTAGTGGAATCTACTTAGGCAAGGGGCTTAAATATTGGTCTAACTGATGAGTTTTGGCTACTTAAAATAAATGTATGTAGGTTAGCTACTCTTAATTAAAAGAAGAGCTTACCTTAAGGGCTCCCCTGTAAAGAGCAGGGGCGGCAAACTGACTTATGAACTCCAGCAAGCTGACCTGTTTGCTCACTCAGGGCCAAGGGTGCAGCATTTGGATAATCTCAGCCTGGGCCCATGTAGTCCCCTGACTCCAAGACCCTGGAAGGGCTCCATTTGGTTTTCATCCCTCTATGACATGGAGTACCCCCAAGCAACGCACCTCTGGTCCTTGTATCACCCGTTAGCCACACCCAAACCTCTGGTCTTCTGAATTTCCAGCTCCCAGTCCTCCGTCCAATGGCTCCCTCCAGCTTCCCCAGATGTCTGGGCTGACTGGGTCCCCTGCCTTATCAGCCTGGGCTTTCTGGAATTCTTCCCTCCCTACAGATCAGGGCCAGACTGTCCCTCTAGCTCTGCAGCTAGGCTTTAAGTATACTGGGCTCCACCCCTTTCCAGTCACCTGTCCTCTGACTGATTGAGAGGGTTCTGCTCAGCCCATTACTTATCCTGCTCTGGTCTACTGCAGTCTGCCTAGTTGTCTTGTTCTTCTTTGCTCCCTATCTGCTTACAAGACTACCTCTATGGCTTATTGCAGTGCATCTTGTCTCAGGTAGCTGGCTGCAGCTCTGTAACTCTTTTCTGTATCTTCCCTGGTACAGCTGCCTAGATCACATTGCTGCCCTCTAATATTGCCCTCCTAGTCTGTAGGTAGCAGGGGTTAGGGGACCTTGCTATAGAGAATAAACAAGATGAGGTGGAAACTACAGCCTGTGAAAACAACTATGATCTGATTGGTATCCCAGGACACATCTACATGACACCATATGGTGATGTTGCTACGGTGTTGTGCTTTAGTCCTTCCTTTTGGAGGGCATAGCCCCCACTCCCAGCACCTTCCATCACCGGCTCGGAGTGCAGTGCGACGCAGCCTCAGCCCCACCTGCCCCATGCAGATCCAAAGGCACGTGCCTCCCCCATGCCCTCCTGGACTGGTAGCGAGAGCAGTAGTGAAAGCCACTGGATGAGCTGCTCCTGGACCAGTGGTGCGCAGCGGCAGGAGCCGTCCCTCACTCTCCCCACCCCAGTCAGGCAGCTTTTGCCCCATCCCCTGTCCCGGCCCCAGCCCCAATTCCTCCCTTGCTGTGGGGGCATTGATCTGCCCCCTTCCCTCCTCCTCACAACAGACTTACCAACTGGAGGCAGCTGTGTCAAGTATGGCAAAGGAACCAATCCCCCTTTTATAACATTGCTCCTGTTGGAAAATTGGTTCCAACTTACAACGTTTTGACTTATGACGTAGTTTTCAGGAACCAATTGCATTGCAAGTCTGAGAACTGCCTGTATTTCCTACAGCACTATGCAAATAGAGCTTGTGGAAAGAGAAGCATCTGTGTTATCTGGTAAGAGCTAGAAAGCACAGAAGATAGGTCTGCAGGAAGTTTCTCAATTGATTAGAAATCTCCCAATATGGTAGCAAATATGTAAAATGAGTCTTGGAGCAGGGCTGGCAATTTAGCATTTGACACAGGCTTTAATCAAGTTTACAGTTAAAATCATTAGAATGAACCCCTGTGCCAAAGCGCACTCTTGCTTATGCCCAAGTAAATTGGGTCTAATTCTGGAGACATTAGTAGAGTTACATCAGTGTAATCCTAAAGTAAATGAGATTAGGATTGGGTCACTAAACATCAGAGGAATGCATTGTTTCACTGGGAAGTATTCATGGTTGCTATCAAGTGGGTCTTTAATTACAACAGACTGTTATATATCTGGTTTAGGCCAATGTGCAGGTTGGGACTGAATGGAAGCCCTTCTATCTAGTTATAACTAGAAACACTAAAGTCATACCCCTAGGCCAGGAGTTTTCAACCTTTTTTAAGGAGTGTATCCCCACTTCTAGGTACACTCCTGGTGGAGGGGGGGGTGGCGGCAGCAGCAGCCAGACGCAGAGTGGGGGTTGCACGCAGCTGCAGCAGCGTGGAGCGGTGGACGGCAGCCACGATCGCCACATGCAAACTCCCCCCTGCCACATCCGGCTGGCTGGGCAGCCTGCAAAGGGGAGCTGTTGCCCTCCCCCCGCCTCCCCTCCCAGCCCTGCTCCTGAGAACCAGCAGCGCAGGGTGGTGGGTGGCGGTACTCCACCCCCGCCCACCCGTGCGTACCCCCTAGCTCTTTTCCAAGTACCCCCCGGGGTACACATACCGCTGGTTGACAACCCCTGCCCTAAGCATTGGGCTGCATGGCCAAGCCTGAGCAGGTGGTAACTTAGTGAATAAAACTGTGGGATCATTGGACAAGCTGTGGAGGGAAGAGGCAAAAGCCACAACAAGGAAGCAGGAAGCAAGAGAAGTAGCAGATGGTATGGTTCTGTGAGGAAGCAAAGACAGGGTTCTTTGGGTACAAAACACTTGAGGGGTTCTGAACAAACAAAATGCCTACTGGTGTTTGTTTCTGTTGCACTATAAGAAATAAGACTATATTCTTTATAAACATCATTTCTTCCTTCAAATGTAACCAACCCTACACAGCCCTGAATATTGGTTTACTGCTCAGGCTACTGTTATGTCCCTCAGCATGGCCTTTACCATTTGCCATTCTCAATAGCATATGCAGTACCTAAACAGAGTAAATTGTCTGGCCTATGCAGCAGAGAGTTTCTTCAAGGAGCCACGTGCTTTAAAGTCCACCTGAGCACCTGCTATTGCAGGAAGTGGAGGAAGACAGCAGTCTTCCCCACACCCTTTTATTTTTATTCAAGAGCAACACATTAAGAAACAAATGCCGCATGACTCCTGGTGGATGTCCCCAGGATCTGGTTATATGAAGGGGATGGAATTTGTGTACTTCAACAGATTTTATTGAATTTTCCCATTGTGTTTGACCTTACAAAATAAAAATAACAAGGTCACAGTCGCATCCTAGTTTTATTACAACTGACCTGCAGGCAAAAGAATAGAACTATTACATAAACACTCTGATTCCATGTATAATATCTTAAATAGAAGAAGTCAAACTAGAATATAGGATAAAATATTCTGAAGCTCTTTGAAGCAGTTATGTTACTGAGCTTCATTTTACAGACAATAAGGCAACATCCCTGCACATCAGCTTTTTGATAATTTTTATACATTTTTCTATGGTACAAGAAAAAAAATAACCAGAGCTCACAATGTACAGTTCTTATACTATTTTCACAGCTTCTGAACACTATACACCTTTTTAATAAAGATACATTGTAATAAATGCTGCACCCTTAATAGTTTATAATAATCTATGATTAATACACTAGATCTGCTTTTCTGTATAGCCATCTACACCACAGCACATTCTGAACCTGGCTTTGACATCAGGAACTCAAAGCTTCTAATTTCCATTTCCCACCAACAGAATGGAAACTCAATTATACTGCTGAAGACAATAGAATGGGGCCAGGGTGCAGGAACAGCACAACTTAAATCAGGTGTGAATGAGGGGAATAGGAAGGCAACAGCTGTTTGCAGAAGAAGGCTTTGGATATAATGAATCACCAGGTCAACAGCTGTAAATGTCCAGGTCTGAGGGACCGAGGAAGAATTACTGCATTAGTCACATTTTGTCATGAACATGATGCCAGGGTGGCAGCATCAGATGATTCAGCACATATTGTTCTCTAGGTGTTTTGAATAGATAATACTTTCAAATTATCTTAATAACTGCAACTGTAGGAATCAAATTCATTAGTTAAGAGAATCTGACTTTGTCCTTGCTGGCCTAGACAGACAAAGCTTTTACGCCCCATGAAGGTCTGGCTACAAATGACAAAAACAGGGTTTTCTGGGATACAATACATTGTAGGCCAAAGCCCATGGGGTCCTAAGAACACTAATTTCCTATCACTTTTGGTGTCAGTTGAGAGAACTTGGTGCCTGATAGGATCAGGCCTAGCATGTTTGGCTGTGAATGCTCTGTAGCGTCAAATGGCAAAGTAGGAACAAAGTGAGTACCTCAAGCCTACACACAAGTAGAGCACTGTAGAATCTGGAAAAGTGCCATGAGCATATAGCAACAGCATAGAGCCCCTGTTTGACCACCAGGTTTGCTTCACCCCTTCTCAGCTCAGATGTTATAATATAGTGTAGGCCCTTGCACCATACCCAGTGCTCTCTGTATTGTCACAGCCTTTGTGTTTGGTAGAAATTGTGGGAAACTTTCTACACAATGTAATTAGTGCAGCAGCATTTCCCTTTCCACTGGGTTTCTAACCCGCTGGGTTTTGTGTTCTAAATTTTTCAGAATTATCTCTGAAAATGGAACATTCAGTTTCTGACAAAGCCCCAGCTACTTACTATGAGACTAAGCCAACCAAGTAAACACTACCAAATGGAAACCAGAAATCACTTTGCAGGTCCCCACAAACTCCAGTTTGTCAGTCTTTGGAAGATATCTAAAAATAGATTATTTTAAAAAAAGCTAAATGTTTCACTGAAAAACTATGTTTGAACAAGTCCAAATTAATGGTATCTGATCAGCTCTAAAGTTCATGTCAGCCAGAAGAGTACATCTTGAATGGTTTTTCTAGGACAAGCTAAAGGTCAGTCAGAAACCACAGATACTTTCTAATGTCCTGGGTACCCAGACTACCATCATGCACCAGAACAATTCAAGTGCAATATGGACCATGATACAACAATCAGGACTGTTCAAGGATCACAAAATAGGCTGCAATTACATACAAAAAATGAAATATTAGACAAACAAATGAGAACATCCTATGTGCAGCAATGAAATTTACCACAATGAGATAGATCCAAGGTAAGGGGTAGGAGGCAGAGGATCCCACCATCCTCATCAGGGGGGATAGAATCAAACACACTGAGATTTGGTCTAGTCTGATCACAGGCAGTGCTGCTAGGCCAGAATTGGTTGTCCATAAGAAAGTAGAGATACTGAACTTTGGATAAAAGGGGTTATGAATGTTTTTCAGTCGATAAACATTGACTGAAAAATTGTGAGTGATTCAACTGTGTCTTATCAAAAACAGCTGTAGATTTTGCACACTGCACTTATGGAAGTAAAAGCAAAGCCATTGTGCAGCTATAAATCAGGTCACAAGCAGACTAAATTCAATTGAGTAGTTTAATAATTCTTCAAGTCAAGGTTTTATCTTATCATGTAACAATTTACAGGACACCTAGTTATAATGAAGAGTGGATGGCTTGGTAAAGGAGAGAAGAATACATTATGTCCCATCTTTGAATATTTTAATGTTAGCCTCTTTCAATGCAACATATTTTTGGTAAAGACATATTCACTATATTTAACATGATCTCTCTTTAAACAGGAAGTTCAGCTGAACACACTGTCCCCAGAAAATACACTGTGACTGTAAAGCAACAGAATTTCATAGCAGTAAATCTATTGCACTTTGTGAAGAATAAAATCCTCCTTTGCCTTTTAACTCCAGAAGGCAAAGCATCGCGTTGGTTATGCAAGTTCTTCTCTCTCCAAGCAAAGTCTCTATGTTCAGACAGACAATGCCTAACTTGTGTTTGTTTTTATTATTACTTAAACAATAATTGGAAGAGTTTGAGAGAAAAATCTTTCCAGTAGCTGCTGAGAAGCCTCTGAGTTTCGAGTCTAGAAAGGAATTTTAGGTGCTATCCAATCACGGTCAACAAATAAATGTACTTATTTCCACATTTCATGAATATGTCCACAAAAGAGCAAGATGAGGTCTCTCTTTGACCAACACTAACACTGTGTGATCAGGTATTACAGGGATGCACTTTATATGTGACAATAATATACAGACATGATGGAAATAACACCAATATTATTGCACATGGTGTCTGGGCGAGCATTAAAAACACTGCAATATGTGATGAAAATTCTTTACAGCTTGTTTCCTCTCAGCCCTTTTTCTAGAGTTTGATGTAGCAGCAATATCAATCGACATACATTGGAGAGCTGGGAGTTGTGGGCATTTGATCCAGGATTTTACAAACATAGCATGCAACATCCACTGTACGCTCTTCATACATCAGAATGAAGGGATGTTTCTGCAAGCCAGAAAGGAAACAAGGTTAACTTACATTTTTATGCTACTGAGAGCTTGCCAATAAACATGGCCAAAGCATATGTCACATGCATGCTCAGCACCACATTAAGGTGGCTAAAATGCCTTGTTTTGGGGAGCTGGAATGTGCAGAGTGGAAGCAAATGAGTGGGACACATTTTGCTGTTTTGTCTAGGCAAAACCAACTGACAGACAACAACTTCCTCTGGGTCTCCCAAAGAACATGCTCATGTTTGCACTTTAGTGCCCAATACCTGGGCAGAGTGCTGAATGCACTGTGGGGATTTAATAAGTGGCAAAGTTTGCCAGCCAACTGACCTAGCTTGCTGAGTGCAGTGGTTTGGGAGGAGCGAAGGCAAAGAGGGGTAACGATGACACATTTCTGTCCATGCCTCTGCATCGACTTATGAGTTTGGTTAGCTGATGTGCTGTCATGTAACAATTCTGTGTGTTTTAATATGACAAACCTGAAAGGGGAGCTTTTCTGCCTCTAATGCTCCTGTATGTGTTTCATGCTTAGAGAAGCTGTTTGGCTTGATTAATCTCTGGGGTTCTTACACTGAGGGGAAATCTATGTGATTTTTACTGAACAGAAGTTCCGGACACTCCAGCTCTTTTATGAATCGACCTGCTGAGCTCAGCTTTTCTAAGCACCATTTTAACTTGCACCTTAATATTTGTTTGCCAATTAATAATTCAGGTCCTGACTCAGCAAGGCTATAAACACAAGCCTTCTCTGACATGTGCCCCATCCCTCAAACTTTAACTATAACTGGTAAAGCTAGGCATGTGCTAAAAATACCTGGCTGAATCACACCTTTCAGTCCCTTCAAGCTTGCTCCAGAAGTGTCAGGGATGGAGGGAGTCATTGCCACAGAAGGTTATGTCCTGGATGGAGATGGAACCTGGAAGCCATCTTGTGTTCCCAGGTAAAAGGAGGAAATCCCTGCCACTGCTAGGGGAGTTGTGAGCTTGTATTGCACAGCTTCTCAAAAGCTGCTGTGAAAACTGAAGTCGCCAGTTATGGAATGTTAATTCCATCCAGGGGCAGTGATGGCTCAAAGGATGTATTGCCCAGTGAAGCACACACTGCATTGGCCACTTGAGAAAACAGGACTTTCAAACCCAGATCTGCAGCTTTAATTCCATTGTGTCCAATATCACACAATTACAATTGCTGCAGCGTGTTCCCCCCCATCCAACCCACCTCTGGTGCCCAACCATGCTCCATACTCACCAGAAGCTCTTTATACTTTGGCCTTTTAGACTCGTCCTTTGTAAGGCTAAAGAAATCAGAAAGATAATTAGGAAAAGGCAGATATGTAAAAAGTGTTCCAAAGAAATTAAATGTTAGCTTTGTATGGGACAAGAAACAGAAAATCACTGTAGCGGAGCTAGGGCCCAGGGTCTGCCAAGCTGTACTGGTGGTCCCATTCACAACCCAACTCTCATTTGGAGTCCAGGAATTTGGCTCCTGGGGAAAAAGACAGGATATTTTCATGATCTGTAGTGCTGCATGAATCTTCCTTCCTTTGCAATGTGGGTGAAGTGTGTTGGGATTGGGATAACTCCCAGGATTGCTGTTTGCTGGAGAAGGAAGATTTTGCTTCCTAATTTGTGCAGCACATGTTGATGTGTCCTAGGGCTCAGATCCAGGGACCTGTGTCCCTGAACAGTTGTACCTATCAGATTCTCAGGCCTGAAGTTACTATTCTGTTCTATGGTTCATTTTTCTTGGGTTAGAGGAAAAAAAGTGGAGGGAAGGAGGTACGGAGAAGGAAGTATGCAAGTGGATGCTGTCAGGTGGGCTTTGCTCATGGTTATTTTACAAACGGGGAGAGGGGGACTGATGCACTTTAGAGCACAACCATTCTTCCAATCCAGCTGGAAACAGAAGGAAATAGTGATACAGCCTCCCTGGGCTTCTTATACAAGCTGTAAAGCTTGAATGGCTCAAATCACCCTTACGTGCTCTCTCTAGCCCTGGTTAATGTGGATTGACTCACCTCCATGCATCTTCCCTTTACATCCCTCCCCCGCCAACAGTCTGATACAAAGCAGTCCCAGCTGGATAAAAAGGCAGATGGGCACAAAACCCATCATTTTTGGGGAGCTGGTTGTTCAGACTCTCATGGCACCAGCCAAATTACATATATGCCAAGAGGGCTTGAAAGAATCCTGGGGAAAAGGGACTATACATAGCAATAGCACTTGAACACATGCCCTGCCACAGAAAGGGTTAATGAGGTCAAGGGAGCTACATACAAAAAAAGAGTACAGTACTTAGGAGGGGTAGGAAGCAAGTGGGAGCAAAAGAGACCCTACGACCAAAGATGCACACTGTCCAGCAGCACATGAGCTGAAGGCCAACAGACTGATGTCTAGGGAAAGTGAACAAGTGTATCTCAATAAAACCCCTTCAATAACCAAACTGCTTGGAACCGGCAGGTGGCAGCAAAATCCCCAGGAAAGCAAAGCAGAGCATCTGCCATAGCAGAATGAGGGAGGATGTGTGCTAGGAAGTGTGGCTACAACACTGCCATGAACGGGGAATAGAGACAGCTCTGAGAATGAGGAGAGGGTAGAAAACCTCATCAAGGATACCCTGTAGTGCTGTGTGACGCTTTGGTAGCTGATTTGATTTGGAGGAGATTTGGCAGTGACTCGGCGGCTGAATCACCAAATCCAAATTGAATCAGGAGACCCATGAAAATGTCCGAATCGAATCGGAAGCTTCTGAATCGATTCGGAGAGGTTCGGCCATAGACTATACAGGCAGTCTTGGACAACACTGGACACAGCTGCCTCCAGCTGGTAAGTCTGTTGTGGTGGGCGGAGGAGGGAGGGAAGGGGCAGATCAACGCCCCCACAGCGAGGGAGGGATTGGGGCTTGGACAACCTGCCCAGCGGGGGCGGGGGAGCACGAGATTTGGAGAGGGGGGCTCCTGCCACTGCATGCTACTGGTCCAGGAGCTGCTCTTCTGGTGGCTCCTCTGGTGGCTCCAACTGCTGGCCCAGGAGGGCATGGGAGCACGCGTGTGCCCCCGGATCTGCGTGGGGTGGGCTGGACCAGGCTGTGCTCCAGGTTAGCCCCAGCCACCTGCTGCTGGGCTGTGCTCCACAGGGCAGGCAGAGACAGGGTTGCGCTCTGGGCAGCAAGCCCCTGCTGCTGGGCTGCACTCTGCAGGGTAGGCAAAGCCAGGGCTGTGGTCCAGGAGGCTAGCCCCAGTCACCTGCTGCCGGGCTGCACTCCAGGGGACAGGTAGAGTCAGGGCTGTGCTCTGGGCAGCTAGCCCCAGCCGCAGCTAGGAGCACAGCCCTAGCTCTACCCAACCGGCAGAACACAGCCCAGCAGCAGGGGCTTGCAAACCAGAGCGCAGCCCTGGCTCCACCCACCCTGCAGAGCGCAGCCCAGCAGCAGGGGCTTGCTACCCAGAGTGCACCCCTGGCTCCCCCCACCCCGTGGAGCGCAGCTCGGCCCAGTATAGCCTAAGGCCAAATCTCTGGAATTGGTGCTGAATCTCCGAATCCAAATTGGGACAGTGATTTGAATCACTGAATCAAATCACTGTCCCCCTGCATCGGCTGAATCCAAATCCAATACTTGCTGCTTCACACAGGCCTAATACCCTGCATATGTCTTCCTGTGTAGTGAGTTAAAGGATTGCCAATAACTCAATGTACTTCACACGCATTAAAAGCTAGTGTGGACCCCACAGCTATAAATACAGCATTAAAGATGGTATATCCTTATGTTAAAGCTCCTGCTGAGGACAGTGTGTCCTAGCTGCTCAGGGAAAGGACTCTTTTGGGTCCTGGATTAGGTTAGACTATGAATTGTGGAGACCCTAGCAGAGCTCAAGCTGAACCATCTAGATCAGTAACCACAAGCATCAGAGCTTGGCAAATAAATGCTTTAAGGACAAGGTAGGCAGGTATGGCCAGGAACTGAAATCGCTCAGTACCTTTCCTCTCACAAAGCTATGCTTCTCTGGCTCTTTTCTAATTCTCCCATGCATGTGTGTCCCTGCAGCTTGCAGATTGTAACCACGACTAGAGAAAGAGAGGAGGAAGTGCAGAGGGTTGTTCAGGTGGGAGAGAACTTTGGGTACACATGGCATCCAGGTGTGAGGGTAGTCTATCAGGCACAGTCTGGGAGGGACTGCTTTCACTGCATGATATACTTACACATATCTTTCTCCCGATTACAGCAAAAGGAGGGAAACTGCACAGCAGGGTGGGGTTTTAAGGTTTTATGGCCTTTCTAAGTAAGATACATGAAATAATGTTGGTACCCAGGTTGATATTTCTTGACTTCCAATTGAAGCTTTTAAGGTAATAAAAATATAATAATGTACCATATCTAATTACTTCTCACCTTAGCTTGAATTCCAGGCACAAAACATGAATTTCATTCAGTGAGATGGGCATTGCGCTGAGAGAGTAGGGACCCTACATTCTCAGCTCTGCTCCTACCTCCACTGCTATCCAGATCAGAAGTATAACTAATAGGGATAACCAGGGCAGCAGCCCTGAGTGCTGCCTTTGTTGGGAGGGGTCTGATCACACCACCATAGTTGGCAGCAGCCAGTGATGACCCATGCATTGCGACTGGCCTGGTACATCTCTCATCCAGACATTTTATCTAGTGACTATTTCATGAAAAGAAAAGAAACACCACTAGGAGTAGACCTCCCCTTCCAGGGAAGTACTTAGTTGACTAAGTAACTGAGTCAGGTTCCCTCTGGCCTGCTCTTCTCCTGCCCCTGCATTTCTTCCCCTTTTGGTTGCCCAGTGAGCTAGCTGCAATAGAAAGAGAAAAAGGTACTTCTGACCCTGCCTAGCCCTTGGTCTGGTGGTTGAGGCATTAGACTAATAAGTATCAAACATGAGTTCAAACCCTCTTGGTCCTGGGCAAGTGTCCTAACCACTCAGCTATTAGATTAAAAGGAGGGAAGAACCTCTTGACCACACTTTCAGGGATATGCATGCAATTAGGCATCTATCTGAGCCAAAAAAGACTGCTACAGTGCATACGCACCACAGTGCATATGCTATAAGTAGCACTTAGATGCCTTTAAGAGAAAAAGGGTTTAAACCATACTCTACTCAAAAGAAAAAAACCAAATATTTCAAATGTCTTATTTTTTATAGTGAAAAGTTATGGTATGAGGAAAATCAGTGAAACTAGAAGAGAACTAAATAACACGGAAGAAGAAATCAGTTGCTCTATGTCCCTTTGGTACACTGTCATGGATCTTGACTAGAGCTGGTTGAAATTTTCACATTTTCATTATGTGGAATTTTTTTTTTGTGGAATTCTGGGGAAAAAAGCATTCCT